ATGGAAGAAAGTATTAAATATGCATGTGAACACATTTAAGTGGGAATAAATATCAGTTCTCTTGGTAAATAATAGTAATGACAGTAAAAATAGCTAGGAAGACACAATGCACTAAGAAATAATAAGCATAATCCCTTTCATTAAAAATGTTTCACTCCATGGGGCCAGTAATCCAAGACTGTTTCCATAAGGCTCTGTTGTTTTAACAGCTGGGGCCATGGTATAAAGTTTCACATTTGGAGCTTGGGCACAATTAAATTCCCCCTCAACACCTGATGAAATGGGTTATTTACTAATTCATCTCAGTAATCAGCTGATCTTAAGGATGTTCGCAGTGCTGCGTCCAGAGGAGTATAGAGATTATCTTGGAGTGTGCACTCAGGATGCCTTGGATTGCCTATTTATCCCTCCTTAGCTCTTGATGGCAACAGAGACTTTATTCTCCTGCCTACTTCTGATTTCCATTTAGGATTTGGTTTATGAAGTTGTTTAAAGGTTTCAAAGAGATTACAACCATCTAGTGGTAGGCACAGTTTAGAGATTTAAATTAAAGACACCAGCTAGAAAAGATGGAATGGAAGAAAGATCAGGACTAATGTGAGGGAACTACTGCAAACAGTGAATTGAAGTTGTCTGTGGTGGATGTTAAATTTTTGGTCACAATTTTTCCCCACTTCATTAAATCAAGTGTATATACTAGTACCTCCTTCTATACTAGTAGATTTAGATGAGTATCAGTATTCCCATTTCAGAGGAAGAACAGCAAGACTGACCATGATCTTAGGATCAGATGGAAATTGTGATGGAAATAAGGACTGATCTCCTGTTCTTCGTTTCAGGCTAGGGGCTAAACCATGAGGTCATCCCTCCACACTTCTGTACACACACTAATATGTCCTTTGCTTGCTTCTCTCTCTGACAGCATTTTTAGAGCCAGGGTGAGGATTTCTTTCATATGGCTATGTTCAACCAACTTTTTCCCAGGTGTGGTCTCAGGAACCTTCCTCATCTCTCTCTGCTCTGGCTGGCTTCCTTCTCAGTGTCCAGTCTGAATCCCTCAAGCCACAGCTCCTGACTTGTCCACTTGATGCTTGCTAGCATGAGTTTGTTTATACACTTCTGTTGTTTCTGTGCACTAAAATAAGACAAAATTGTGGAAAGGGACTTAAAAGGATGAGAACTCCATGAGATTTCCCTTGCAAAATTTTCTCTGAATTAATCCCTGTCCAGCCAGGCTAATAGAAAAAGAAAGAGAATCATGGAATATGTGAGGGATACCCACCTTAGAAACAATTCAATTTCATGTTGCCATTTTGGGGACAGAATTGAAAAATCAGTTTCCCTTTAGTTTTCTATCAATCTCCCAGTGCATGTTTTTCATGCACTTTTGGTGATGTGCTGCTGGGTTGTAAGAAGAGGTTTCTACAGGTGGATTTACGGGAGAAACTTTGCGGACCAGCTTGGTGTGGATTGGGCTGTGGCATTTGTCCTCGGCTACAACTGATTCCTTGGCTGGATGTTTTAGCCAAAAAGGTAAAAAACTCATTTCATTCACAGGAGGAAGGCCTGTGATCCAGTCTTCTTGCGTTGGCCATAACACCACGTGTCAGGTAAAGGTTTGTGTTCTGGGTGAATCCTTACCAGTGTGATGTTTTCATCGTTGCTGTCAGCAGGGGGACCAAACAGAAGAATGGGCTGCAGATAGCTGAAGAGAAAAAGGCTCTGGGAATTTATTACTTTGTTTTTTTCACAGGGAGAATAAGAAAGAAAAGGCAGCACCTCTTGGCAAACATTTATATTAAGTGCAGTTTGCAAGAACTGCGTATGAAAAGAAGTCGAAAGGATTTTGATTGTTCGTGTAAAAAGGAGACAAAAAAGAGGTAGCGTAGTAAAAGAGAATTAAAATGGACGTGGTTGCAGAGGGTAGCTTGGGAACATCTGTTCTGTTGCTTCTGATGACAGAACTTGGGACTATTCATGTTAATAAAAAGCAGAAAGTGAATATGCAAAACGTAATAATTTTTATTCTATGTATGATTGACTGTGGAACTCACTCCATCAGAAATGTTTAAGACAACATTCGAATTAGAATCAGTCTCTTATATGAAGAATAGCATTAAAGGTAAAATTTCTCAGCAATTATTAGAAGCAGCAAGGAGTGAACTGCTTATTAGAGAGTTCTTACATCTGAGTCAGAAACATTTCATGTTGGCTTCTGCCAGCCAGCACGCTGGACCACGGCTACGGTCCGGGGTCACAGTTTATATTAGGGCTGCTACACAGACAGCATCACATCGATGGATTTCACTTTAGCTTCCCTGGTAATTTTGTTAAACACTTGCCAGCGACTGTGACTTGATTCTGTTCAAGAGTTATTCTTTTCAAGTGTTTTTCTATTCTCCAAAGAAATAAAATACTCTGAAGTTAATCAGGGACCTCGTGTGCTTTTTTACATGTCACGGGGTCATGTATCTCGGGCTGATGACAGGGTTGCAAATGGAGACAAAGTGGTCAGAGGCTGCACTAATCCCTGGCATGAGGGATACGGGGGAGCAGCAAATAAAGCAGGGCCTATGTTAAGTGGGTGGGCAAATGCTTCTGAAAAAATCCTCTAAATAGACTAATTCCTCTTTTCCCTACACGGACCTGGCTAACATTGTTTTGTGTTCACCCTGGGTGCTCTGGAGCTGATCCTGGGAGTTCTGCCTTCCCGAGAGCCACAGGACTAGACACTCTGTCCGTGTACCTGTGAAAATATTCCTTGGGTTCAGCTGAACGGACTCAAATCACCCACGCTGCCCTCAGTCTTTGTTATTGCTTGCTCACCCTAATTCCTACGTGTAGCTGCTGCTAAAGGAAAGTTTAAGGAAGTCTGCCTGCCACAGAAATACTTTCACGGTGTCCTTCGAAAAATCGTGCCAGAAATAGATTTATATTTTATTTATTTGCTTTCCTACTAAATATTCTCGCCCCTCACGCTCACCCAAGCTGCCTCTGCATAAGCCAAATATCCCTCAATTTTAGCTCAGATGCCGTAATGAAAGGCATAAATAACGAGACCTCAGGAAATGCAGCAAAACCTTCCAGCAGCCTGTAGTTTCAGGAAGGTGGTTTGTGTTCATTGCTCCGGTAGAATGAAATTCAGCATTTCAATAAGAACAAGTGAGCAGTGTGTCTGGGCAGCACACAGCTTTGGAACAGCTTTGGTAGAGCTGGGGGAAAAAAAAAAAAAAAAAAAAAAAAAAAAAAAAAAGCCATGGTTCTATTATTTATAAGCAGTTTTTGAAATTCAGGCTCACTGTATATATAAATGTGTGTATGTGTGATTTTTAACTTAACACAGCTACAGGTGGTGTTCTCTCCCTCCTTTTATAGGAATCAGATGAACATTTTAGTTTTTTCTCCTGCAGAAAGGAGGGGGGTTTAGGCACCCAGGAACCCCAGGCACTTGAGATGCTGGAAGTTTCAAAGGAAACAACCAATTGCCTCCCCCAAACCTTGTTGGGGTCCAAGGTTTTGACCTGAGGGAGAAGCAGAGCCTGAAATAGGACTGTGATAACCCCCCACGGGAGTGGAGAGCCTCCAGCTTTTGCTCTTACCCCAGCCCAGAAACAACCACTGGGGCAGAAACGGGGCAGGTGGAATTTGAAGGAGACAGGGGAAAAAAAAAAAAAAAAAAAAAAAAAAAAAGTCCTGAAGTACTTATTTTACTTGAATAAATAGACAAGACCCCTTCACACCTCAGGGCACATTGTTGTTTGGAAATATTCATAAATAATTAACAATAGTAGTAATATGAATAAAAATGTCTAGCTCTTCACATGGATACTGAGGAAGGCTGCAAAGCTGTAAAATAAGGATTTCTGCTTTAGTGTGGGCAATTTATCTTGACACTAGCTTAAATTGCTTTAGGTGAGGAGCAAAGAGCTTAAAATGACCGTAGCTCCAGCCCCGGGACTGCAGGTCAGGCCAGCTACCAGGGAAAAAGGGCCTCCCAGAGCCCATGTGAGGGGGCAGGAACCCCCCTAACGTCTCCAGTTAAATAAATAGAATAGCAGAGAAATCCTCTTTTAAGATGAAGACACCCAAGGCAGCTCTGGCAGGACACACTTGAGCTGGTGGTCCCTGTGGATCATGGTGCAGGAGCAGATTTGGGCAACGAAGTGGCCCCATCCCAGCAGCAGAGAGGTCCCTGTGGGACGGAGGACATTCTTCATGCAGGACAACCCCGCGCAGGGCAGGGGAGCCCAGGGGAGGTTTGGGCACTGGTGATCACCTCCTTGGCATGGACACGCCAGGCCAGGGCTCCTCTCTTTGTCCAGGGCTGCGGGTGATGCTGCGCAGTCCGTGCAGGGAAGGCAGGACCCAAAAACTACCCTCTCCCCCAGGGTCTCCCTGGCAGATCTGTTCTGCCACACTCAGCTCTTTTCTTCTTAGTGCTGCTTCCCCTCCCCTCCCCTTGAAGTTTTTCAGTCATCTCTTCAAATGTCACCTGCGATCCCCTTCCTTTACTGGGGTTGCCCTTCCCCACATCGTTTCTACACATTTAAAAAAGAAAAAATAATAATAATAAAAAAAAGACCATGGCCACCACATCCTTCCCTCTGGATCTGGAGCAGCGCGTCTGCCCCGGCTGGGACGGGGGCTGGCAGCAGAGCCCAGCAAAGGCTGCAGTGGGACCCGTAGCCGGGGGGAAGCCACGGAGTGGGCAGGTGTCCCGGTGCCACAGGGACCCCCAGTTTGTCACCTCGCTGTGGCCCCCGGAGGAGGCAGGGCCTCGGGGGTGGTGTCCTGAAAAAACAGGGGTTCTGCCCTGCTCCGGCTTCCCAGCAAAGGACTCTCAGGGCTGAGCTGCCGGGTCTCTCTGGGAGCGAGAACTGTTTGGAAAATACTTATAAATAGCCATTTTTATCCATTTGAGCATATATATATTCATATATATGTATATATATTTGTATGTGCTTTTATATAGAGAGGTATGCACATATGTATGTGCATCCCTAAGTGCCTGTCTCAGCGCTCTCTTTATTGTTGGTCCGGGAGTAGGGCTCGAAGGCGGAGGAGCTGAGGTAACGGGCCGACAGTTCCTGCAAGTTGCCCGCCAGCGAACCGGCCACCCCCAAAGGGGCCGAGGACAGTCGCCCGGCCACCGAGCCCAACAGGGCGGGCACCGGCAGCCCGAACAGCCCGTGGTCCAGGCCCAGCAGAGAGAGAACTGTTTGGAAAATCGTTATAAATAGCCATTTTTATCCATTCAAACATATATATATATATATATATATATATGTAGATATATTTGTATCTGCTTTTATATAGAGAGGACCGCACATATGTATGTGCATCCCTAAGTGCCTGCTTGGCCCAGCAGAGCGAGGACTGTTTAGAAAATACTTGTAAATAGCCATTTTTATCCATTCAAACATATATATATATATATATATATGTATATATTTGTATGTGCTTTTATATAGAGAGGAACGCACATATGTAGGTGCATCCCTAAGTGCCTGCCGGGCCCGGCACCGGCCGCAGACCCGGGGGAGCGGCGCAGAGGCGATCGGCGGAGCCCGGCGGTGGCACCCGGGCAGACCGGGCACCCGGCTCCTCTCCCCGCGGGGTTCCGCGCCGCTCCGCGCAGCCCCGGCCACGGCCAGGGACCCGCGGGAGCCGGGAGCGCTGCGAGGGCTGGGTGCGGAGGAGCCAGGGAGGAGACCCGGGAATGCCCCAAACTGCCCCGGGAAGAAGAGATCCCGCTCCACGGAATGGACTTCACACCCTCCCCGCTTCAAAATTAAAAATAGAATTTTTAAAAAAAAATTAAAAATGGGAGGGTTCCGAAGGGATGGGATTATTATTTTTTTTTCTGGCAGCGCACGTATCAGATGAAGGTAGTTTGGGTGCTACGAATATAAGACGAAAATACACCTAATTCCGTCATCATATAGATATAATATATTTCACTCTCACCACATAAATACAAAACATCCAAATATCCAAAACATTCAGAACAAAAGTTAGTAGCAAGGGCTCAGCGCTCGATTCATTCATTATTTTCTTCAACTAGTTGCCTAGAAACTTCAGACGTAAATAATTTACAATAAAATTACTATTTTCTTTCTGTCCAGCTCCTTCTGTCCAGTTCTGGTCTATAATTAATTCTATACACTACAGCAACCATTCCACTTTTTGTAAAATTTTTTTTTTTTTTGGTTACAGTTTGGTGGCACGTATTTATACAGTTTGTAAACGCCATGTGTTAAAGTTTAAAGAAAGAAAAGAAACTTAAAACCAAAGTAAAGAATTTTTTTTTTTCCAAAGAACTAGCTAAGTACAGTATCCCTTTTCTGGCAAATTCAAGTACCGAAATTGAACAGGAAATATTCGATCCGGAATACTAGAAGGTGAAATACATATGCTTGTGAAGAAAATAGCAGTAAGAAATATGAAGGCAAAAAAAAAAAAAGATTATTACATAGATGTATTTTTAAAGTACAAAAATAACAATAAAAGATACGCTTTTTATATTTTACGTTCGTTTTAAATGAAGTGTGAGCGATATACGAGAGGGTTATTTTAGGAGGAAGGAAGGCTAAAGATATTTTTTTTTTATTTAGATGCGCATTGAAATTATTTGGAAAAATCAAATAGGGAGAAAAAAAAAAAAAAAGAGGAAAAATTACCGTCGCAACAGATCTGGATGCAAATCGAGTCGCGACTTCCATTATTTATCTGCAGATTTGCTTTTGCAGATAAGGTCTGCAGGACTGGCCCGTGGGAATGCGAGGAAAAAAAAAAATTGAAGGGAGAGACAGTTTTATTCAAAGTCTCTGCAGCCACTGGTTTCTGTCTCCCCGCTTCGTGCGTGGATTTTCGAGGCAGTCCGCTCCGGCCCTTCCCACAGTCAAGATTTATGATAAAAAAAAAATAATTAAAAAAAAAAGAAAAAGAAAAGAGAAGTTGCTGGAGGTTTTCCTGGCTGGTGTTAAGGGCAAACGGCGAGGACGGTCCCCGGGGGGCTGTGGTGCGGTGCGTGTGGGTGAAACGGGGGCTGAAAGGTGGAGCCCCCAAACCTTTGTGCTTTGGAGTCACTGAAGTCTGGGGGGGGGGAGAGGAAATTTAAAAAAAAAAAAAAAAATTAAAAAAAATAAACCATTCCTGTTTTTTTTCTATTCCATTTGTCAGAAAAAAAAAAAAAAAATATGGGAACATTCC